CTAGTCTGTTTCTTGACCTCTCGACTGTTGTTGTTAGGTGCTGTCAAGTTGGTTCTGACTCATAGTGACATGATGTGCAACAGAACAAAACACTGCCATGTTCTGTGCCATGTTCACAATTGTTGCCCTGTTTGAACCCATTGTGGCAGCCACTGTGTCAGTCCATTTTGTTGAGGGGCTTTCTCTTTTTCAGTTTACCAGCCTCTTGACTAGGCAATTATTTTTTTCTGGAAAGCCAGAGATTTAAGAGAAACTTATTGTTCCCATCCTAAATGGCTTGCTCTCTCTGATCCCTATAAATTGTTGTTTGAGAAACAGATACAGGCACTGTTATGGAATCTTAGCAATGGTCTGCCTGGTTGATAAGCATGTTTAATCCTCGAGTTTGGAGTAACAATTTTTTTTTCTTGTTTTTCCCTCCTACCTGGCTCAGTTCTTTGCTTTGTTCTGACTTGAGATCCCGAATTGTCAAATGGTAGCGATTGCTTAGGGATCCTGTGGTAAGAAGATAAGTGCATTTCTTCTGTCCTGTTGGTTTTCTGAGTTCAAACTCAAGATTTCCCCCACTTTTGTTAGTGAAGATGTAATTTCAAATAGGAAAGCTATGTCCCATAGTAGACGGAGAGGGAGAATTTCATACCCCACATAGAACATGATTTATGTCAAGACCCTGGTCTGTGTTTGGTTGGGGTGTCTGTTACCACTACCTTACCTTAAATTCTGTTCACCTCTTTTGTCTTTGTTTCTACACACCTGTGCTCTTTTTTTTTTTTTTTTAAAGTTGGAGTAGTCTTTAGGTAGGACCACAATGCTGTTCTCTGTACCCATGTACTTCTTGAATAACACGGGTAGTACTGAATTTTGTCCAACACCAGCCCTGCCATCTTTAAGGGACTAGATAGACTTCCAGGTCTTTAGTCCACAGAACTTCCAGGTGTTAGACAAAATTACAACTATTTAATTCTGCTGACCAACTTAGGAAGTCTTTGGTGTTCCCTGATACCCACTTGGTTTTTCCTTCCTTCCTTGTTTTTTTTGAGATGCAATTCATGTTTTGTTCTGTGTCTCACAGCTTATTTTATTTAAGAGTATTTCAAAATTAAGCTAAAGTGACAGTGACAAGAATCCTGGGAAGGGAGGGGAGGATGTGATGGTTAATTTTTTGTGTCAACTTGGCCAGGCTATGGTGCCCGGTTGTTTGGTCAGACACTAGTCTAGATATTGCTATGAAAGAATTTTGTTGGTGTGACTAACATTTACAATCAGTTGACTTTAAAAGTGATTGCCCTTGGTAATGTGTGTGTGGGTAGGGGGGGCTCATCTAATCAGTTGAAGGCCCTAAGAGTAAAAAATAAGGTTTCCAAGTGAAGGATTCTGCCCAAAGACTGTAACCCAGACCACTGTGCTGGAGTTTTCTCACTTCTTGGCCTTACCAGCCACTATAATCTTGTGAGACAATTCCTCCCAATCTCTCTCTCTCATAAGTATGTATATATCTTATGTGTGTATGTCTGTGTATGCATTCATGTGTACACATGTGCATATATATGTATGGAGAGGAGCCCTGGTGCTGCAACTGTGAATAACTCTGCTGAGAGGTTGGCCTGTTGAACCCACCTGGAAGTTCTGTGGAAGAAAGACCTGGAAGTCTATCTAGTCCCTTAAAGATGACAATCTAGAGAACCCTACTTGGGGTAGTTCTCCTCTGCCACATGGGGTTGCCAAGAGTCAAAAATAGACTTGTCGGCACCTGACAACTACAACAAAACAACACATGCATGTATGTGTGTTTAAATAAAACCCATTGCTACCCAGTCAGTGCAACGCATGGTGAGCCCATGCTTGTTGGGGTAGAACTATGCTCCATAGGGTTCTTGGTGGCAGATGTTTCCAGAATAGATCGCCAGGCCGTTTTTCTCGGAGGGTCTTTGGGTGGATTTGATCCTCCAACCTTTCTGATAGCAGCCAGGTGTGTTGACTGTACCACCCAGAAACCAAAACCCACTGCCATTGAATCAATTCTGACTCCTAACAGCATTATAGGACAGAGCAAAACTGCCCTATAGAGTTCCCAAGGTTGTAAATCTTTACGGAAGCACACTGGCCTCATGTATCTCTCGTGCAGCAGCTGGTAGGTTAGAACCACAGACCTCTTGGTTAGCAGCCAAGCACTTAACCATTACACCACCAGGGCTCCTCTTTGCACCGCCTAGGCACTCCATTGTGTGTGTATGTGCATGGCGTCCAGTTTCCTCTTCTGTAAAATGAGATGGTTACTTAGGTAATTCTGAGATTTGTGCCAGCTCTACCATCTGTGATTTATGGTGGCCTCATCAGCTGTTGGACAAAGCCAGTGAACTCTGATACTAGCCCAGTTGGTGCCACATGGCATGCTTCCTTTAACTGGCTCAGTAGCCTGCTTCTCCAGGTAGGATGGTTATGCAGCTTTGGTTTATTTATAAAAAGCCAACCAGTTGCTGTTTCCATCCTGGCCTTTCTGGATCCTGGGCCACTTTGCAGGCAGGAGCAACACTCCCCCCACCTCCGGTCCATAGAGGATCTTGCTTGGGGGCAAGTCCTGGGTGTCCTTGGTTAGTGACCATGATTGAACCCAACGACCGTTGATTTGAGACCCCAACCTTCTCTGCATTCCATCTATCCTGCAGAACCCAGGCAGCTATCTATAGGTGGAATCACGTGTTATTTTTGGAGGTCTTTACATGTGAACTCGGAAGGAAGGTTGGGCAATCTACTTCTTTAGTGATACTGTCTCAGAAACCCAAGGAGGGGTCACCACCTGTCTCCTTTCCTGTTGCTGCTGATCTTGGCAAACAGAGCCTATTCTTAAGTCTCTGGAATCTGAATGAGAATGTTATCACTTTAAAATCCAAAATGGTTGCCACTTGTAAAGATTCAAAATGGCTACACCCTCGGTCACTTTAAATATCCAGAATGGCCGCCGCTTGTAAACATTCAAAATGGCTATGCCCTTGGTCATTTTAAATATCTAAAATGGCTGCTGTGTGTAAACAATCTAAATGGCTGCACCATCCAGACAGTGGAAAGTCAGCAGCTCAGGTTGTCTCCCTCCTTGCTGTTTCCCTTCCTAGTCATAGGCCACCAGTGCAGTCATCACTGCGGCCCTTGGTGACCAAGGTTGATCTTTAGGTCAGTTCTGAGGTCCCAATACTACTTGGAAATATTTAGGCTGTTGGTCCCATCAGAGTAGCTGACAGTCTGCAGCTCCGACCATCTCTGTACTCACTGTTTTCATTCAGGTTTTTCCACTAGTTGGTGCCTAATCCACTTCTGCATAGTTCCTTTCAAAGCTCAGGGTTCCAGGATTATCTTCTGTATCTCTGCCAATTGGTTTTTCTTTTCTTTGTTGAAGAGGGTCTGTGTCGCTTGTCTGCCTATTCCTCCATCTTACTGGAAGTCCCTAAAAATGCCTTTTAATCTTCCAAATATGCTAGAAGTTGAGCATTCCTTGAATAGTCATTGAAAAAAAAAAAAAAATCCCACTGCCATTGAGTAGATTCCAACTCATAGCGACCCTGTAGCACAGAGTAGAACTGCCCAGTGGGTTTCCAAGGCTGTAAATCTTTACAGGAGCAGACTGCCTTATCTTTTCCCCACAGTGTGGCAGGTGGGTTTGAACCGCTGACTTTTTGGTTAGCAGCAGAATGCTTTAACCACTATGCCACCAGAGCTCCTTGAATGCTCTTTAAAAATGGTCATGATTCATAGTCCAGCTATCATTACTCCTTAGAAAAGAGATAGTTTTACCTGAGTATTAGGAATCCCTGGTAGGTCAATGGTTAAACATTCAGCTGCTAACAAAAAACATCACTGGTTCAAACCTACCAGTTGCTCCATGGGAGAAAGCTGTGGCAGTCTCCTTCCATAAAGGTGGTTGTTAGGCGCTATTGAGTTGGGTCCAACTCATAGTGACCCTGAGTACACCAGAAGGAAGCACTGCCTGGTCTTGTGCCGTCCTTGCGACCAATCATTGCCATGCTTGAGCCCATCCCACTGCCTTGGAAACCCAATGGAGCAGTTCTCCCCATCCTCTAGTGTTGCTATGAGTCCAAAATGACTCTGGCAACAGGTTTGGTTTGATTTGGGGAATATTTGACTTGGAAAAAAAATTCTTCAGACATCTGAGACGAATCATATCATTGTCTATTTCCTGCTAAATAGTTTGTACTCTACAAAGTTTATAGTTCATCAGTCGTTAAATTATCACATAATACACCTTTCGCATGCTGAAAGAAAGGCAATGCCACTCTGCCTTGTAGTTCTGGTTGGTCAATCAGTACAAGTTCTGTTTTGGGGGCATACGATGAAACGGTGTGATTTCTAAAACTTAAAATCTTAAAATCTCTACCAAAAAAGTTCAGAGTCACATACAGGCCAGCTCAACATTTAAAACTGAATTTATGCCACATATCTACATGTTCAACCAGAAACCATCCTCCATCAGGTGGATGCCGACTCATGGCAACTCTATGTGTCAGAGTAGAACTGCCTAGGTTCATGGCTGTGGCCTTTCAAAGTGGATTGCCAAGCAGTCTTTGAGGCCTTTCTTTCATGCCTCTAGGTGGGTTTGAACTGCCAACCTTTCAGGTGTGACAGCTGGTGAGATGGAGTGGTTCCCTATTTTCTGCCTAAGAGATATGTAATCATTTTGCATCATTGTGGGTCATCTAATAAAAGCAAACCAAACTCATTGCTGTCGAGTCAGTCCCAACTCATAGCGACCTCTCCGTGGGTTTCCAAGGCAGTATCTCTACGTTAAGTAGATTGCCGGACCTTCATTCCGAGGAGTGGCTCGTGGGTTTGAACCGCTAGCCTTCTGGTTAGCAGTCAAATGCCTTAGGCACTACGTGGGTCGTCTACTCAGGCGTTAACGGTCGCCTTCATCATCCCAGCTGCCCAAAGCCACAGCTGTGCTGCTCCATCTGTTACTTTCTGAAACGCTTATGTTTCTTTTTTTCCAGGCATCTAGTGGAAATTATTACTTCATCCCATACATCGTGACGCCGTGCGCAGATTATTTGTGCTGTGAGAATGATGTCCAGAGACATGCGTCAGAGTACATGCAGCCCAACTGGGACACTGTCCTGGGCCCACTGTGTGTGCCCCTGGTGGACAAGTTCTTCAGCCTCCTCAGGGACATCCACGTGACCTCATGGTAATTCCCATCAGCCTTCAATTTTCTCTTATTGTTCATGGAGGCAGTACTCCCTCACATGCCCTGAGAATGGGGAACTCTGCCCAATCACTTTCTTTATATTTGTTTTATTGTTGTAAAAATAGATTATACAAAACATTTGTCACTTTAACATTTTATGGTTTAATTTAGTGACATTGATTATGTTTATCATGTTGTGCAACCATCATGATATGTTTCCCAGTTTTTTCACTGCTGTTAACACAAACCTAATGGCCCCCTAAATTCCCTCTCACCTTTGGTTTCTTTCTATTTACTTATTTCATATATGCGAGATCATACATTGCTTGCTTCTCCTTTTCAACTGACTGACTTTGCTCAGCATATTTTTAAGGTTCATATTGTGGTATGCATCAGGACTTCATTTCTCTTCATGGCTGTATAATATTCTATTATATGTATCTACAATATTTTATTTATTCATCTCTCAGCCGATAGTTAGGGGTTTGTACCTCCTGGCTATTGTGAAGAGTGCTGTTTGTGTTTCTGCCCTTGCTGCTTCTGGATCTATACCTAGGAGTGGAATTGCTAGGTCAGATAGTAATTCTATGTTAAACTTTTAGAGGAACTGGCAAACTGTTTTCCACAGTGACTGCACCATTTTACAATCCAACCAGGAATGGATGAGGGTTCTAGTTTGTCCACAATCTCGCCAGCACCTATTTTGTATTGTGTGTGTGTGTGTGAGAGAGAGAGAGAGAGAGAGAGCGAGCGAGCGCGCGAGAGCACGCACGAGAGAGAGAATTGCTTTTCTTCTGACAGGATGAGGTGGTGTATCTCCAGCCAATCATTTTGAAGTCTATTGCAATTCATCCTTGCTGCCCTCATTCCTCACTAAGTTGGACTACTGAAGGATAGCCAAGACAAAATGGAACTGGTGGCAGGAGGTCAGGATTGGGCTGTCTGCTGGGTGGCCTTGGCAAATCCCTTCTCTTATAGCTGTTTTCTCATCTCTGTCAACTTGAAGACCCTGGGTTTTCACATAGTTTCTGGACATGATTTAACCCCTCCTTAGCTGTGGAGTGTCTTAGGTAAGACCTTTCTGATCCTAAGTTTTTGTGCTCTGAAAGCCCAGGTGAGGCAAGCAGAAAGTCTCCTGGCCTCAGGATGGTACCATGACAAGTTCTTTTCAAGTTTATGTCAGAGCTGGTTTGAAACTGTGGAATGATGACTCAGAAATAGACATGGTGTGAGTCCCCTGTCAGGCAATTGTTAGCCGTGGTGTCTTGTAAAAGTCAGCTCACTTCTTGGAGCCTCAGAACTCGAGAAACTGTACCTTAAAATGTTCTGATTCTGTCCTTTGGAAATGGATGTTGGTGATGGCTGCACAACAAAGGGAATGCAACAACTGTCCCTGAAGTGTCCACATAAAATGGTTAAGATGACAAATGTGGTGTTATGTGGCTTTTTTGGCCATAATAAATTTTTTTTTAAATAAATTTTCTTTTATGGTGTAGTGGATAAGGGACTTGACTGCTAACCAGAAGGTCAGTGGTTCAAACCCACAAAGCACTCGGCAGAAGGAAGAATGGGCCATCTACTTCCGTAAACATTAACAGCCTCAGAAACTCTATGGGGGTTGCTATGAGCTGGAAACAACTCATTGTCAGTGAGTTTTGGTTTAAAGTTAAAGGCAGAAAAGTGATTCTCTTTAACTAAAGGATCCGGTGATTTTGTTGGCAGCCACTTTACAGGATTTACTCTAGCAGTCATGTCACAAGGAGAAAAATTTGTCCTTCCAAAAGAAAAGAAAATCCAAATAATTAGAGAACAGACTTAGAATGAAATTTTAAAGTTCCTCTCATCATAGTTTGGCTGAGATTGTGGCACCCTCAGCTGTGCAGTGTTCACGTTGTGGTAATTGTATGAAGTACACACTTGTTAAAGAGTCCCCGTGGCGCAACCGTTAAGCACTCGACGGCTCCCCCAGAGGTTGGTGGTTGGAACCCATCTAGTGGCTCCTTGGGAGAAAGATGTGACAATCTGCTCCTGTTAGGATTACAGTCTAGAAAACCTTGCGGGGCAGTTCTGCTCCGTCATATAGGGTCACTGTCAGTTGAAAATGGACTCTACGGCAAGTAACACCACTGCCACGCTTGTTAACAGTCCACACTCTCTTTCTGTCCCATAACCTCGTCTCTGGAGAGTTCCTCTCACAGACAATAAAGGGAAAGTAAGACTGGAAACCCAGACGTGTGTGGTCACATGAAACATTGAAAGCAAAGGGGACATTTTGTAGCACATTCCTGAAAACCTTAGAGGCCCTCCTTGCCTAACTATCGTCTGATTGCAGAACTGACATTTTAGTGAAGTTTAGAGAGAAGGCTCTCACAGTACTGTATTTTCAGGTCTGACATGGAGGTAGGCTAGCTTGAACCTGCCAGACAGGTCTTTACGAGAAATGGACTATTGTTTGTATCTTATTCAGTGTATGGTTGTGTTGGTAGGAACACTACCTTTGAGTTTGGTTTAATTTGACATGACTTGAATGATCTGTTGGTTTATCCCCACCCTGTAAACTGGCAGATGTCTGATAATGTGACAGGGTAGATGGTGCTTATGGTTTAAAACATGTCCCTAAGAGGGATGGGGAGGCCCTGGGTGGCATAAGGCTGTTGTGGTTTGAACCCACCCTGAGGCTCCTCTAAAGTAAGTCCTGGTGATCTTCCACAGGGTCACAGCCGTGAAAACCCTGTGGAACAATTGTACTTAGCAATGTGGAGTCATCATGACTCACAATCAACTTGACAGCAACTGGTTTAGTTTTTGGTTGAGTATACAGAATGGGGTCCCTGGAGGACACAAACGTTAAGCACTTGGCTTCTAACTTTGAGAGGTGCCTTGGAAGAAGGGTTTGGTGATCTACTTCCAAAAGGTCACAGACATTTGAAACCCTACCCTACTGTGCACTTCTACTCAGAAACGCACGGGGTTGTCAGTAAGGTT